ATTGGTCTGTTCACATTTCTATCTCTTCCCAGTTCTGTTTTGGGATACTATGTGTTTCTAGAAATTTGTCCATTTTGCTTAGACTGTCGAATTTTTGCCATATAATTTTTCATAGTATTTGTTAACAATCCTTTGTACTTCTGTGGTGTCAGTTGTTATTTTTCCTCTTTCATTGATATTCTGTATTTGGGTTCTCTTTCTTTATTTCTTGGTGAATCTTGCTATGGATCCATCAATCTTCTTTATCTTTTCAAAGAACCAGCTCTTCGTTTCATTGATTTTTTGAATTGTTATTTTGGTCTCTATGTCATTTATTTCTGCTCGGATCTTTACTATTTCATTCTTTCTACTTGCTCTGGCGTTTTCTTTCTGTTTGCTTTCTAGTTCTTTAGTTGTGAGGTTAGATAGTCTATTAGAAATTTTTCTTGTTTCTTGAAGTAGGCCTGTAGTGCTATGAACTCCCCTCTCAGAACTGCTTTCACTGCATCCCATAGATTTTGTGTTGTTGTGTGTTCATTTTCATTGGTTTTCAGGAAATTTTTAATTTCTTCCTTGATCTCCATGGTAACCCATTCACTGTTCAGTAACATGCTATTTATCTTCCATGTGTTCAAATGTCTTTGCATGTTCTTGTTGCAGTTGATTTCTAGTTTCATGGTATTGTGATCTGAGAAGATGCTTGATATGATTTCAATCTCCTTGAACTTGTAGAGACTTAGTTTGTGCCCTAACATGTGGTTTATCTTTGAGAATGTCCCATGTGCACTTGAGAAGAATGTCAATTCTGCAATTTTGTGGTGTAATTCTCTGTAGATATCTATGAAATCCATTTGATCTAGCTCTTCATTTCGAGTCTGTGTCTCCTTGTTAATTTTTTGTCTAGAAGATCCATCCAGTGATATCAGCGGGGTGTTGAAGTCCCCTGCTATAATTGTATTGCTGTTGATTTCTCCTTGAAGTCCTCCAAAAGATTTTTAATATATGTTAGTGCTCCTATATTGGGTTCATGTATGTTTACCAAGGTTCTATCTTTCAGTTGGATAGATCCTTTTAATATTATGTAGTAGCCTTTTTTGTCTCTAGTTATGGTCTTCATTTTGAAATCTAATTGATCAGATATGAGCATTGCTACCCCCACTTTTTTTTTTCTTTCCATTTGCTTGGAAAAATTTGTTCCATCCTTTCACTTTTAACCTATGTGAGTCTTTTATTGTGAGGTGAGTGTCTTCTAAACAACATATATGTGAGTTATGCTTTCTTATCCAGTCATCTACTCTGTGTCTTTTTATCGGAGCATTCAAAGCATTGACATTTAAGGTGATAATTTTTTTTTTTTATCCTCACCCAAGGATATTTTTCCATTTTTTGTACAGATAGAGTGGGAGGGAGAGAGAGAGAGAAACATCAACGTGAAGGGACACATCAAGTGGCTTCCACCCGCACGACCAACCAGGGCTAGGGGCAAACTGCAGCCGAAGTACGTGCCCTTAGCGGGAACCGAACCCGGGTCCCTCCAGACCGCAGGCCGACGCTTTAACCGCTGAGCCAAACTGGCCAGGGCTAAGGTGATAATTAATATGTACTTATTTAGTGCCATTTTTTTTTTTTTAGCATGGTTCTATTTTTCTTCCTTTTTGTTCTACTAATTATAGCCAGTCCTTTTAGCGTATCTTGCAGTGCTGGTTTGGTGGTAATATAATCCCTTAGCTTTTTTTTTAGTCTGGGAAACTTTTAATTTGACCTTCTATTTTGAATGATAGCCTTTCTGAATAGAGTAGTCGTGGACCTAGATCCTTGTTTTTCACGACCCTGATTACTTCATGCCATTCCCTTCTGGCCCGTAGTGTTTCTGTTGAGAAGTCAGCTGAAAGCCTTATGGGGTTTCCTTTGTAGGTAACCTGTTACTTATCTCTTGCTGCCTTTAGGATTCTCTCTTGTTTTTCATTTGTGGCATTTTTATTACTATGTGTCTTGGTGTGGGCCTGTTTGGGTTCTTCCTGACTTGTGGCTTTCTGTGCTTCTTAAACTTGAATGCCTTCTTCCTTCACCAAGTCAGGAAAGTTTTCTGTCACTATTTCTTTAAATATAGTCTTTAACCCTTGCACATTTTCTTCCTCTTCAGGGACTCCTATGATGCAAATGTTATTACATTTTCAGTTGCCTAACAGTTCTCTTAAGCTATCTTCTTGTTTTTTAATTTTTTTCTGTTGGTTTTCTGATTGGTTAATTTTTTTCTACCATCTCTAATTCAATAATCTGGTTCTCAGCTTCCTCTACTCTGCTGGTTAGTCCTTCCAATGTGTTCTTAATTTCTGCTATGTCAATTTTCATTTCCACTTGGTTGGTTTTCTTTTTTTCTTTTTTTTAATGTAATGACATTTATTTATTTATTTATTTATTTATTTATTTATTTATTTATTTATTTATCTTGGTTGGTTTTCATTGTTTCTATATCTTTACTCATGGTGCTGATGTCCTTACTCATGCTGTTAAGCTTTCTCAAGATCATGGTTGTGAAATCTACCTCTGATGATTTGCTTAACTGCATTTTATTTATCTCATCTTCGATAGAGTTCTCTTGTTCTTTCATTTGCGATTTGTTTCTTTGTTTCACCATTTTGGCTATCTCCGTGGGTTTTTCAGCCTGCCAAATTTTCCCTGTCAGTGTTGGTGTTCTGCTGTTTGTGGCTCCATCTACTGGTTTTGGATGAGTCTGGGTGGGCCAACATTAAATGGCACTGTCAAGTCTTACCTTCCTGAGTAGATTTGCAAGCCCAGGAAAGGTTCAGTTATCCTCTTTTTCCTGGAGGCTAGTAGTCTCAGTTACTCAGTGCCTTGGAATGTAGCCCTTTTGTTCTGCCTAAGAGGATTTCCAGATGGTGGGGTAGATGCTGGTTCTTAATGTGCCTCAATTTGCATTTCTTTTTCTCACCTGGGAAAGGCTGATTCTCTTAGAGGGGAGCTGCTGCTTTTCCCCACAGCAGTATGAAGGAGCACACTGGCCACCATCCTTTGTGATCGCAACTCAGCAAAAACTCTGAGTGCCCTCCAAATCCCGGGTGTCCCCACAGAGCTTTTCCCAGTCTGCCCTCCCTCTGCCGTAGCCTCCAGGTTAGTGGCTGTGGCTTTTTCAGCACTCTCTTCCTGCTCTCTGCGCTGTGGAGTGGGCTTGGTCTTTATTCCCCAAAGGCACTGCTCACAGCTAAGTCTGCTGCTGTTCATGAGCTTCCACCCCGCCACCCTCTTGTGACTCTGCAGATCCTACCAGTGTCCCTGGGTATATGGTCCTGTCTTGATGCTTTTCTATTGCTTTTTTCTAAATATTTGTTTTTATTTTAGTTATAATACCTGTTTTGTCCTGGGAGGTCATCTGTGTAGCTTCCATTCACACTGCCGCCATTTTCCTCTCCCCGCAAACACACATTTTATGTCAACAACTGTAAAAAACATAACTAACTTAAACTGGTTTAATATTAAATATTTTGTCCAAGCCACAGGATTCTGCTTACCCTATATGAGTACTGAATTTCCTTAGGCCATTAAAATATTACCCTTTTGTAATGTCATCTGGAGGCAAGAAACACACCACATATAATACACAGACAAACACATAAAGGTCATATATATATTCTGAATCATTTTTATAGAGAAGACACAAGATTTTTCTGATTTGCTTTTGATGACTTGTTAGAAAAGGGAAGGGAAATTCCTTAATATTAAGCATGAAGACCTACCAAGACTCTCAACAACAAAAAAAACCCTCAAGGGCTGTGAATGAGTGGTAGAAACAAAGGAAATCTTGGCTCCATTCTAAAGAATTAAGAAACATGACAGAGCTAGGCTGTTTTTGTTTTGTTTGTTTCATTATAACCTTAAAACTTTCACAAACTTTAATAGCCTTCACAACATTTTACCAAGCTTTCAACAACTTTCACAATCCTTCTTACCCGTTTAAAAATAATTATTCTTAGAACAACTTTCTTTCTTTTCCCTCAAAAATGAATTTTCATGCCTAATGCCTTCTATTACCACAACCACATAATTTCTTTTTTTCTTTTTATCCTCACCCGAGGACATTTTTTTTATTTTTTGTTCAGATAGCGTGGGAGGGGGGGAGAGAGAGAGAGAGAGAGGGAAACTTCGACATGAAAAGGACACATCGAGTGGCGCCCCTGCACAACCCAACCAGGGCCAGGGACAAACTGCAATTGAGGTACATGCCCTTAGCGGGAACCAAACTGGGTCCCTCTGGACCGCAGGCCGACGCTCTAACCTCTGAACCAATCAGGCCATGGCAAAACCATATAATTTCTCTCCAACTTAATTAGAATTTCTAACTTTCAGAAACTTCAATTTCCAATGATAACCAAAAAAGTAAGCAACCAGTACTAGATTGACTTTTATAAACATATTTTATAACCTTTGGAAACAGTTTTCTCTTTTGGCAAACACACTTTAAGAAACACACCTCTAACAAAGCACATTTATTAACAGCTCCAAATTTACTCTGAAGTCGCACTGCAACAAAAGCCAAAACCAGGTGAACCTGAACTTGTCTAACAATCAGTTTCAGTAGTTCATGTTATTTCAAAATATCTAGATATTTAATAAATTTTATCAAATTTACTAATTTAGAACGGTATAGCTGAAATAAGTTAAATTTATTTGCTTAGATGGCTAAGAAATTTTTTTCTTTCAATCAGGATTAACTCCAAGAAACTTGCATTTTAAAAGATGGCCCAGAGCCCAGCTGATGTGGCTCAGTGGTTGAGTGTTGACCCATGCACCAAGAGGTCACCAGTTTGATTTCCGTTCAGAGCACATGCCCCAGTTGTGGGTCCAATCCCCAGTGGGGGCCATGCAGGAGACAGACAGTTGATGTTCTCTCTCATCAATGTTTCTCTCTCTCTCTCTCTATTTTTATTTTTATTTTTTTGCCTCCACATAGCTTCTTTTATTTCTTTAATTGACACAACAGACCAACTGAGGTCTGTGTTTGGGTTAACACCAGAGTATGCCTTAGTGTCAATGCATACATTTAATAGGATGAGAATATCATGACTTCCCAGTTTCAGCATTTATACAATTTTTCTCAGGATGTACTTTTCACCAATAATCTGAACTAGATATTTTTGAGCAAATCTTTGCACATAGAATGTCTCCTATTGGTTTCCTGTGACATAAAACAACATATAATTGATCACTGAAGGCGAGACCACACTCGCTGCATTCATAAGGTTTCTGACCTGTGCAAACCCTCCTGAGGGCGCACATCTGGCCACAGGCTGGCCCACAATGACCACATTCCCGTTTGCTAGGAGGGCACTGATGTTTAGTGCTGTCTGAGGGGCTACAGAAGGCACCTGCATAGTCACCGCATTAACGGCATTTTTCTCCTGCAGGACAACACTGGTCTGGGATGAGCTGGGACTCTGTGAGAGAATTGTCCACTATGACTGAATCACCATGTTTTTCTCTTGTGTGTATTCTTTTATGTTTCACAAGGCAAGACATGTAGGCAAAAGCTTTCCCACACTCGTTGCAGGTATAGGGTCTCTCTCCTGTATGAATTCTTTGATGGACAATGAGCTTCTGCTTTGTGGTAAAGGCTTTTCCATAGTCAGTGCATTCAAAGGGTTTCTCTCCTGTGTGAATTCTCTGATGTTTAATGAGACCTGATTTCTGGGAACAGCATTTTCCACACTCACTACACACAAAAGGCGTCTTTCCTGTGTGAAATCTCTGATGTGCTATGAGGCATGTCTTCTGAATGAAGCCTTTTCCACATTCACTGCATATATAGGGTTTCTCACCTGTGTGAATTAGCTGATGTACAATGAGATTGCCCTTCTGGGTGAAGCCTTTCCCACAGTCACTGCATATAAAGGGTTTCTCTCCTGTATCTGTTTTCTGATGTATATTGAGCAGTGATTTCTTGAGAAAGTCTTTGCCACATTCAGAGCATTCATAAGGTTTCTCTCCTGTGTGTGTTCTCTGGTGCTCAGTGAGCATGAACTTTCTGGAGAAGGCTTTCCCACACACACTACATTGATGGGGCTTCTTACCAGTATGAATGATCTGATGATCAGTGAGCCAAGACTTCTTCATGAAGGCTTTCCCACATTCACTGCACACATGAGCCTTCTCTCTTTTCTGAGGTTTCTGATGTTTGATACGTTGGGACTTAGTGCTGCTGAGTTTTCGGCTTTCGTGGAATTTTATTTCAGCCTGAATTTGTTCACTGTTAGTATGGAGAAAATATTTCCCATCTTCAGAAAGCTCAGTGGGCATCCTGGTTTGACAGCTTCTGCTCTGCTTAAGTAAAGATAAAGTTGATTTCATACTTTTGCCATGTGAGTCAAACATATGGTTTTGTTATAACAGAGAATGGGCTGTGCTCTGATAGATAGTGTTTTCAAAATGTCACAGTTGTGCCATTGTTCTAGGCTCTCATTTTGTAAGTGTTCTGGCAGCTGATCAAGTCTCCAGATTTCTGAACGGGTTCGACCGTGGATTTCACCTGCCATTGTCCACGGTGGTTCTCCGTGATCCAGCTTGGAGAGGGTGTCTGGTTTGCTGGCTTCGTAACCCAATGACACTAGGTTGCTGTAGTTCTCCAGCATCATGTCCCTGAACAGGTCCTTCTGAACAGGGTCCAGGAGCTGCCACTCCTCCCAGGTGAAGTCCACGGCCACATCGTGAAATGTCAGGGACTCCATGCTGTTTATTGGGTGATGTCCTTCAGATGATATGGAAGAAATGCTAGTTTTTCTGCTTATTTTCACTTCATAGGCTGCATCTGAGCCTGCATTTTCTTCTGTCCTCTGAAGAGCGGCAGCAGGGAGGCTGTGTGTTGGTGTGTGCTGGGGCTGCTCTAATTTCTGCTCAGAAATCTGTCTTCAGTCCGGTGTGTCACAACACTGCTAACACCTAACACTGCAGCTTCTTCCTGCTTCACATGATTCTTCTGCTCCTGGGGCATCATGACCTGATTTTCTACAGCGAACCAGGGGAGTCTAAACGTTACACTTCCGCGAATTGATTCAGCTTCTGAAAATGTCCTCTCTCTCTCTCTCTTTAAAAATCAATAAAGAAAAAGGATTAAAAGTGGTCCAGATAAAATTTGGTGGGCTTTGAATTGTTTCTTGTACCACACATTTGGCCCTGTAAAGACTGCACTAAAACAAGGACAGTACTATTTATTTATTTATTATTTATTTATTTATTTTACTACCTCAACAGTGGACTGACAAATCCATTCACTCATTTTGAAATGTTGCTTCCCATTTGTGTACTTTTTTTAGTTTGCTGATAGCACATAGCTTAAGTTAACCTCTGAGAGCCACACAGGCTTGGATATCTGGAACCTTTGTGCATTTCCCTTGAGAATATGGTAAAACAGGCGTAGCTACAGCACGTGCTAAATACTTCCTTTTGCTTCCATGGTGGCAGTTTTATAATGTCTTGGAATTTTGAAGTTGCCGATTGTTTAAATTCTTTTTGTAACATCTAATAGTTCTGCAGCCCGTTTTCCATTTTCTAAGTGCTGCCTTAGAAAATTAAAGATTCTTTCTGCTTCTACAACATTTAAAAGTTATGAGCTGCACCAAAGGTACAGCTACTGTCAGTGTAAATACTGGCTATTTGATCTTTGGCCAAGTGACAAGCCCAAATTAAAATAATTAGGCTTTTGGGGCAGATTTAATTCAGGTAAATAAGAATCTTCACTTATGTCCCTTCATAGCTAGTATTGTAATAAGTATGTTGTCCTTTTGGGAGTTTAGTAATTTTCTAGAGCATAAAACTAAATCACCTACATGTAAGATTAGAGTGGAATATCTAGAAAATGTAATAACATTATTTAAATTAGCTTTTAGTGTCTAAGACAGTAGGTGGGATTCCTCGTATATCCCTGAGGCATTACTGTCCACGTAAATTTATAATCTTCCCAAGGTGAAAGCAAAGATGTATTGACTGTCTTTTTCTATTGGAATGCTAAAAAAGAAACTACATAAGTCTATTACTAATAACTATTGGCAGCCGCAGGAATGGATGATAATAAGGTGTAGATTTGGAACCAGAGGATGTCTGGGAAAAACTACCTTATTTATAACTCCAAGATTTTGTACAAATCTCTATTTTTTCCCATTTGGTTTCTTTTGTTTGTTTATTTGATAATCCTCACCTGAGGATATTTTCCCATTGATTGTTAGATAGACTGGAAGGGAGGGAGGGAAGGAGAGAGAAAGAGAGAGAGAGACATCAATATGAGAGTGACACATCGATTGGTTGCCACCTGCATGACCCCGATCAGGGCCAAGGATCAAACTTGCAACCTAGGTATGTGCCCTTGACCAGGAATTGAACCATCATTCTTTGGTCCATGGGCCAATACTCGAACCACTGAACCAAAATGGCCAGGGCTCCATTTAGTTTCTTTCCTGGAAGCAGAGGAGAATTACAGCGGCTCATATATGGAATTATAAGTTCCCCCCTTTTATAGCAATTTTAATTTCTCCTAAAATATTAATAAAGAGAAGGTAAAATATCTTCCCATAGTCCTCAAAGCAGCCCTATGTTTGTTTCTGTTTCATTTATTTTTTTCTAAACTCTGTTTCCATTTCTTATGACCCTTAAAGTAGAAAGACTTTTCTTTCTACTTGTGACCCTTCTTTAGCAATTATGTTGCTTTTGCTCCCAGAAACCAATTGGTGTAGTAATTGATTAAGTTAGAGTAGCCAGGGTTACATGTTCTAACAGTTAATTTATTTATAAACCCATCAGGAACAACCGCTGGTTCCCCTCTGGCTAAGACCAGCTTTATTCAAAGGGAGCTGTTAGAACTCCTATTCTCATTGTCCCTTAAGTCAGTAGGAGTGATAGTGGAGGAGATGGAAGGGGAAGGAAGAAGGGAAGGTAAGGGCAAGTCTGAACAAAAAAGCTCAGAGAGCAAAGGACATAGTGGAGGAGGTTAGAAAGGGAGGAATGGAGTGAGGCATTTACTAGCTTCAGAAGAGTTCAGAGACCGTTTCTAAAATTTCTTATTCATTTTATTTTTTTAAAACAATCTGTGCCTCTCCTACGAGCTTCTAATTTCCAAATCCAGATACATTTTTTATTCATTTATTCAGTTTAATTTTAGAGCTGGTATTTTTCTAATTTTTTTCATGCAAAAAAATAATTTAGGCACCAAGACAACTGCATTTTGGCCATTTAACGTTTATATCATTTTGCCTGGCTGGTGTGGCTCAGTGGCTGAGCATCGACCTGTGCACCAGGACACATGCCCAGGTTGTGGGCCTGATCCCCAGTGGGGGGGTATGCAGGAGGTGGCCAATCGACGTCCTCTCTCATCAATGTTTCTATCTCTCTCCCACTCTCTTTAGAATCAGTTAAAAAATAAAGTTTATATAATTTCTAGTAAAATCTTTCCATTTCTGTAAAACACTGGCAAGTACAGGCTTCCTGTCCAGAGTATGAATGAGGGCTGGAGTCTGGCAGTTTTTGGCCTTGGAGGCACAACATCCCATGTCAATTTTAGTTTTGTTTGTATGTTTGTTAGTTTCTTTATATCTGCAGAGTCTGAGCAAACTTTCTAAGGATGTTAAGTAGTGGGTCCAAGTGTGCTGCTTATGGGTTGAGTTCCAGGAGGCTCTCATCCCTTGGGTCACATTCAGCTCTCTTCATACCTTGGTTTCTCTCCTGGCCATCTAAAACAATCAGAAGAGCTCAGGACGCTGGATGTCCAACCCTTATGGACACTTGACCAAAAGAGCCAATCATTTTACTTTCAGTTCAGTTGGAATTCCCCTGCAGAGCCCTGCACATTGTGAAGACACCCAACACCTCTACAGAGATTCTTAGAACACCCAAGACTTGGGCTGGAGGGAGGACATGTCCCTTTATCTTCAAAGCCGAACAAGTTCTGCTCTCATATATACAGCAAAGGTTTTTTGCTCAGACTCCTAGAAAGCAATTCCAATTGATAAGCCAAAATCAAAATCAGCCACCCATTTTTCCTCCTGTCTCACCTTAGCCTGAGTTCTGTCAGCCCTTAACCTTAGTTCCAACTGAAGGATTTAAAAATACAGATCAGATAAAGTCAGATCCTCTACCACAAGAAAGGAAGGTCCTGGATACAAGAGACAAGTCACCACGTTCATCCGATGGGCGAGTAGCTGGCAGGCTCAGTGGGACCTCTGCTGGATCCTACACCAGGTCCAGGCCCACAGGTTGGTTCCTGGTGAGCTGTTTGGAATCCTGCCCACTACACCAAGTAAATATCAATGTAAGAAGCATTTAAACCTGTGAAGAATTTTTGTGAGTTTATTTAAGCCAAAATTGTCGACAATTTCTGGGAAGCAAAATCTCAATGGAATGAGATAATGCTCCAAAGAATGGCAGTTTTGCACCTATTTTATGCAATACAATACAAAGAGAAGATGCAGGTGAGTTAAATAAAATCCACTGGTTATAGACTAGGGAGGTGGGAGAAAGCAAAGCAAGGAAGCCTCTGGCATCGGATGAAAAATAAAATGAGAGACACATACACCTTTTATTTATTTATTTAATTTATTTATTTTTAATTAATTTATTTTTGTTACAGATGTTTCTCCTTTTTCCCCCACTGATTCCCGCCTCCCCCACCCTCCTGCCCTGTCCCCAGCTTTGTTGTCCATGCCCATTGTTCATACATACTTGCATATAAGTTCTGTGGTTTATCTCTCCCCCACCACCCCCTCTTCTGGGGATTGTCAGTCTGTACCTCACTTCAATGTCTCTGGGACTACCCCATTCCTCAGACTGTTATGTTCATTACATTCCATAAATAAGTGAGATCATATGATACTTGTCTTTGTTTGGCTTGTTTCGCTTAGGATAATACTTTCCAGGTCCCTCCATGTAGTCTCAAAAGATGAGATCTTTCTTACAGCTGCATAGTACTCCATTGTGTATATGTACCACAGCTTTTTTATCCATTCATCTACTGATGGACACTTGGGCTGTTTCCAGATCTTAGCTATTGTAAATAGTGCTGCTACAAACATGGGGGTACATATATTCTTTCTGATTGGTGTTTCAGGCTTCGTAGGGTATATTCCTAGAAGTGGAATCACTGGGTCAAATGGCAGTTCAATTTTTAATTTTTTGAGGTAACACCATATTGTTTTCCATAGTAGCTGCACCAGTCTGCATTCCCACCAGCAGTGTACTAAGGTCTCCTTTTCTCCACACCCTCACCAACACTTGTTGTTTGATGATTTGTCGATGGTGGCCTTTCTGACAGGTGTGAAGTGATATCTCATTGTTGTTTTAATTTTCATCTCTCTGATGATTAGTGGTATTGAGCATTTCTTCATATGTCTCTTAGCCATTTGTATGTCCTGTTTGGAGAGGTGTTTACTTAGTTCCTCTGCCCATTTTTCAATTGGGTTCTTTGTCTTCCTTTTGTTGAGCTGTATGAACACTCTATGTATATTGGAAATTAACCCCTTCTCTGATATATCATTGGCAATTATGCTCTTCTATACAGTGGGTAGCCTTTCCGTTTTGATGATTGTATCTTTCGCTGTGCAGAAACTTTTGAGTTTGATGTAGTTCCAGACACATACACCTTTTACATAGTGGGGTACAGGATAGTTAACAGTCAACAACTAACTCAATAACAATGAGGGGATTTGGGGTCTCTGTAGAGCGGTGCCTGTGCTTTGAGAGGTCC